TGGGCCTCCTGAGCTTCGCCGTGTGCTACAGGTACGGCCCCTTGGAGAACGAGCGCAGCATCAACCTCCTGTCCTGGGCCCTGCAGCTCCTGGGGCTGCTGCTCATCTACTCGGGCATCCAGATCCACCCCATCGCCCTGGGCCTGGTGCTGGTGGCTGTCTGCACCAAGAACCTGGATTACCCCTTGCAGTGGGCCTTTGCTGCCTACAGGTGAGGAGCTGGGAGCTTGGGATGCCCCAGGGATTCATGTTCCAGAAACTGGTCCAGCCTCAGGAGTTGGTTCTGCCCCAGGATTCCTGCCCCAGGAGCTGGTTCTGTCCTGAGAGCTGGTTCTGCCCCAGGGATTTCTGTCTTAGGAGCTGGTTCTGCCCCAGAGATTTGTGTACCAGGAGCTGGGAACTTGGGATGCCCCGGGGATTCATGTTTCTGAAGCTGGTCCAGCCTCAGGAGCTGGTTCTGCCCCAGGAGCTGGTTCTGTCCTGGGAGTGGTTCTGCCCCAGGGATTTGTGTACCAGCAGCTGGTCCAGCCTCAGGAGCTTGTTTTATCCCAGGGTTCCTGCCCCAGGAGCTGGTTCTGTCCTGGGAGCTGGTTCTGCCCCAGGGATTTGTGTACCAGGAGCTGGTCCAACCCAGGGGTTCTTGCTGTGGGAGGTGATCCTGCTTCAGCTGCTGGCCTTGCCTTAGAGTTCCTGCTTCAGGAATCCTGCCCTGGGAGGGTGGTCCTGCCCCAAGGTTTCTGACCTGAGAGTTCCTGTCCCAGGGGTTCTGTCCTGAGAGTTCCTGTCCCAGGGGTTCTGTCCTGAGAGTTCCTGTCCCAGGGGTTCTGTCTTGAGAATTCCTGCCCCAGAGGTTTTGACCTGAGAATTCCTCCCCCAGGGGTTCTGAGCTGAGAGCTCCTGTCCCAGGGGTTCTGACCTGGGGTTCTGTCCCAGGGTTTCTGTCCTGAGAGTTCCTGCCCCAGGAGCTGCTCCCAGCCCATCCAGGCACTCATTAACTGGTGTTTCCCCCCTGGCAGGAGGGTGCAGAGTTCCAAGCTGGGCCCGACCCCTCCTCGGCTGCTGACAGAGGAGGAATTTCAGCTCCAGGGCGAGGTGGAGACCCGAAAGGCCCTGGCAGAGCTGAGGAGCTTCTGCCAGAGCCCCGAATTCTCTGCCTGGACCACAGTGTCCCGCATCCAATCTCCTAAAAGGTGACATCCCTGACAGTGAGCTTGGGGTGGCCACCCTGTGTCCCTCTGGGCTGTCACCTCTGTCCTTAGAGACACAGAACTGTGGTGTGAGGGGGGAAAGGATGGATAACACCAGGAAAAGGGGGAAAGGATGGATAACACCAGGGGTGGAAAGGGAGAAAGGATGGATAACACCAGGTCCCAGCTGCAAAATGCTTCACCTGTGTGTGTCAGGGCCTCTCCAGGGGCACTGGACACACCTGCCCAACGTGTGCTGCTCCATGGTTTCTCCCAGGTTTGCTGATTTTGTGGGTGGTGCTTGCCACGTCACCCCCAACGAGGTGTCAGCCCATGAGAGGGAGTTTGGCCTGGAAAGTCTCTCCATTGATGAGGAGCTCTTCGAGGAGGATGATGATGATGATGATGATGTTGATGAAGAGGAGGAAAACATCAGTGACTCCTCTGGTGGGAATCACAAGAGTGATTCCCTGTTCCACAACCATGTGGATGTCCAGTGAGGTCAGCTGCACTGACCTGGCCAAGGAGCAGAATTTGGGCTGCTCCAGGCATGGTGGGGTTGGTCCTTGTGGGGCTGGACCTGGTGGGGTTGGTCCTTGTGGGGATGGTCCTTGTGGGGTTGTTCCTTGTGGGGTTGGACCCTTGTGGGGATGGTCCTTGTGGGGTTGGACCTGGTGGGGTTGGACCTTGTGGGGTTTGTCCTGGTGGGGTTGGACCTTGTGGGGTTTGTCCTGGTGGGGTTGGACCTGGTGGGATGGTCCTTGTGGGGTTGGCCTTGTGGGGATGGACCCTGTGGGATTTGACCCTGTTGGGATGGTCCTCATGGGGTTGGATCCTGTAGGGATGGTTCCTGTGGGGATGGTTCCTGTGGGGCTGGTCCTCATGGGGATGATCTTTGTGGGTTTGGACCCTGTGGGTTTGGACCCTGTGGGTTTGGACCCTGTGGGGATGGTCCTTATGGGGATCTAGACCCCCTCTGACAGGGAGCAAAGGGTTCTGAGCTCCCTGCAGCTCCTGCCTGAGGTGTGAACACCACTCTCAGCACAGCTCTGGGTGTTGGGAGGGGGGTGGGACACCCAGGAAACCCCCCCAGGCTGGGAAGTGACCAAGATGCAGCCTGGACCCAGCCCAGCATTTGCAGTGGGCGTTTGTGAGCCCCCAGGGTGGCACCCCCAGGGCAGGGACCCAGGGACCCCCTCCCAAACCTGGGTGTTTGTCTGGCTCCATCCCCCCGTGCCACAGCTGCAGACAGGAGCCCCTTTCCCCCTCTCTGGGGTGGGGATGGACCTTCCCCTCCATCTCCTCTGCAGGTTCCTGAGGGTGACACACACGAGAGGAACTTTGGACCTGTCCTGTTGGTACCTGCGTGCTCAGCACCTGCCTGGAGCCGTGGTGAGGAGTCACCTGCTCCTCCTCCTCCTCCTCCTCCTGGTTCAGAGGTGTCAGAGGGCTCCAGCTGGTCGGGCCACACCTCTGCCTTGGCTTCAATCCCGTGTGGATACCAAAAACTCCTCCATGGAGCTGTGTGTGGAGCCTCAGGGTCTGCTGGCTGCCCCTGGATGTGGTGTTGGGGTAGAAGCTGTTCTCAGCCCCCTCTCCCCATGCCAGAGCTGAGGATGAGTGTGGATGTGCTTCCTCCCTGCCTCACTGCCCTTCTCCTGTTACTTCTCTCCCAGCAGGTGTGGGCAGGGACTGAGGGTGACCCTACTGATGTTCCAGTGGGGAACTCTACCAAATCCCAAAGCTGGAGGGGACACCCCAGTCTATGCAACTTCCTAAGCAATAATGCTGCCCTCACCTGCTCACAGTGTCTCAGCTCCAGCCCCTACCTCACCTGGAGCTTCTGCCATCAGTTTGTCCCAGTCCCAGGTCTGTCCCTGTCCCAGGTGTGCTTCCCCAGCCCTTGCTGTGCTTTCCTCCCTGTTCAGCTGTGAGCAGATTCAGTTACTTCATCCCCCCTCCCTGCTTCAGCGTGGTGGATGACTGATTATATTTTTAATAAAGATGTATTTTTTAGGTCCTGAGCCTCATTTGTTCATCCTGCTGTGACCTGTGGGAGGTCATTCTGCTGGGCATGGTTTGTGGGGACACAACAACCCCTGGGTGACACATTCCCTGGGCTGGGGACCAGGTGTCCTCCTTGGGGCCAGATGTCCTTGGAGCAGCCCTGAGCATTCCCGATTCTCCAGCCCCAGCTGCTCCTGCTTCTCCAGCCCTGTACCTTGCCCCTGTTTCCCGCAGCCCAGGAGAGGAAACTCCCTTTGTTTGCTCGGCTCCAGGACTTTGCCTGCTTGTTCCTGCTCCGAGCTGCCGGCTGGGGAAGGTCGAGCCGGCACCGCGGGCAGGAGCTGCAGCCGGGGCCACCCCTGAGGCTGATCCCTGCTTGCTGCTCCTTCGTGCCTCAGTTTCCCCAGCTGAGAGTTCTGGGGGAGGGCCCTGCGGTCTCCCCCTCCCCTCGTGGGCCGGACGGGGCCAGCACCGGGCGCTGGGCTGGGCTGAGCCCCGCCGGTTCCGGGGCAGCTCCAGCTGAAGCCACTCCAGCAGCTCCTGCTCTGCGACCCGGAGGTGAGTTGGGGACCCAGGCAGCATCTGAAGCCCCCCAGCCCTCCAATCCTCAGCTGGACGGGGGTACCCTGACCCCACAACCCCCATCCCATGGGATGTGGGGACCTGGTGGCATTGGGAACCCCAGGGTGAGCCCAGCACTGCCCTGGAGCTTGGGGGGGCTCTGTGGTTCCCATCCCACCCTGCTGACCTTGGGGTCCCACCCAGCAGCACGGGGGGCTCAGACCCCTGGAGGGTTTTGCCATCTCTAGAGGGTGCTGGGACCACCTCCATCGCCCTTTTTTTGCCCCATCTTTCCCCACCTTCTCCTCATTTGTGAACTTTCCCCGGGGCCACCTGGGTCCTATTCTTGGGGCAGGGATTAATTCAGCCTCCACTTCCTCCCTCCTTCCTGGCAGGAGGAAGCCGGGGTGGGAAGGGGACCCCAAGCCCACCAAGAGGTCACCCCCAGGAGCTGCTTCCCCCCGGTGTCCTCCATCCCTCACCCGTGAACTTTCCCCGGGGCACCGATAAGCGGGGCTGGGTTTACAGCCCAGCGCCCCAGCTGTAAACTGGGGGTGAAGGTCACCCCAGGAACGTGACCGTGCTGTCACAGACAGGTGAGAGATGGAGGACACCGGGGGGAAACAGCTCCTGGGGGTGACCTCTTGGTGGGCTTGGGCTCCTCTCCCCACCCCGGCTTTCCCCTGCCAGGAAGGAGGGAGGAAGTGGAGGCTGAATTAATCCCTGCCCCAAGAATAGGACGCAGGTGGCCGCATTTCCTGCCCGGGTCTCCTCTTCCCCCCAGCATCCGGCTGCCCCCAGCCCCTCCACGGGCTCCTGGACACCAGGACACCCCCACAAGGTGCCCCCCGTGCATTTTGTGGGTGTGTGGCTGCCTTGGCCCCCATCCCCAGGGCTGGGGGGGAGAAACCAAGATCCCACAGACCACTGAGGAGCTTGAGGGGTGTTTTGGGGAAGGGGCTGCGTGTGTGTGGGTGCAGATCCTCCATCCCCCGTGCTGTGTCCCAGCTGCCCCCAGCCCCTCCACGGGCTCCTGGGCACCAGGACACCCCCACAGGGTGCCCCCCGTGCCTTTTGTGGGTGTGTGGCTGCCTTGTCCCCCATCCCCAGGGCTGGAGGGAGAAGCCAAGATCCCACAGACCGCTGAGGAGCTTGCGGGGTGTTTTGGGGAAGGGGCTGCGTGTGTGTGGGTGCAGATCCTCCACCCCCTGTGCTGTGTCCCAGCTGCCCTGGAGCTGCCCGGCCATGGAAGGCTCCTCCTCGCTGCTGGACGCCGAGGCTGTGGCGGATCTGGTGCTGCTGGACCCGCTGACCGAGGAGTCGCTGGTCCAGGACGCTGCGGGAGCGATTCCGGCGGCGCGACATCTACGTGGGCAGCGGGACCGGGGGGGTCTGGGGTGGGGAGGGACGGGGACGGGGGCTGCTGTGTGGGAGTGGGGTACATGGGGTGTGTGGTATGGGATATGGGGTACGGGGTGTGGGATATGGGATGGGGATTGGGACATGGGATATAGGATATGGGATGGAGGTTGGCAGGGCTGCAGGGTCTGGGAGGGGGAATGGGATATGGGGTATGGGATATGGGTGGGGAATGGGATATGGGGTATGGGATATGGGTGGGGAATGGGATATGGGGTATGGGATATGGGTAGGGAATGGGATATGGGATGCAGATTGGGATATGGGATTTGGGTGGGGAATGGGATATGGGATGGGGAATAGGGTATGGGGAATGGGATATGGGGTATGGGATGGGGATTGGGATATGGAGTATGGGATGAGGAATGGGATATAGGATATGGGATATGGGATGGAGGTTGGCAGGGCTGCAGGGTCTGGGAGGGGGAATGGGATATTGGTGGGGAATGGGATATGGGGAATGGGATATGGGTGGGGAATGGGATATGGGGTATGGGATGGGGATTGGGGTATGGGGAATGGGATATGGGGTATGGGATGGGGACTGGGAGGGCTGCAGGGTCTGGGATGGGGAATGGATTATGGGGAATGGGATATGGGATATGAGGCATGGGATGGGAAGGGGATATGGGGTCTAGGATGGGGAGTGGAAGGGCTGCACGTTCTGGGATGGGGAGCAGGATCTGGGGTCTGGGATGAAGACAAGGATCTGAGATGGGGATGGGGAGCACCAGGACGTCGCAGCCCCTCATCCCTGCTGTCCCACAGACCTACATTGGGAATGTGGTGATCTCAGTGAACCCATATCAGTCCCTGCCCATCTACACCCCGGAGAAGGTGGAGGAATATCGCAACTGCAGCTTCTTCGCCGTCAAACCCCACATGTGAGCGAGCACGGGCGGGCTGCTGGTGCCCTCAGCCCCCTGGATTGTGCCAAGGGCATCACTCCCGGGCAATCCCAAAAGAATCGACCTGGGGCAACACCACAGCCACAACCGGGGGAGGGTCTGGACGTTTCCTGAAGCCCCCAGATGGTTCCAACCCCTTCCAACCCCTCTTGCCCCCCAGCTATGCCATCGCTGACGATGCCTATCGCTCGCTGCGGGACCGGGACAGGGATCAGTGCATCCTCATCACCGGCGAGAGCGGCGCCGGCAAGACAGGTACAGCCGGGGCTGCAGGGGGGGCTCAGGGCACTGCGAGGGCACAGCAGAGCCCACGACCCCACCCCAATAATCCCCCACCCCTCTCTGGCAGAGGCCAGCAAGCTGGTGATGTCCTACGTGGCAGCCGTGAGCAGCAAAGGGGAGGAGGTGGACAAGGTGAAGGAGCAGCTCCTGCAGTCCAACCCTGTGCTGGAGGGTGAGTGCAGCACATCCCGAGCTCCTCCTCGGGCATCCCAGGGCTTGGGGCTGTCCCCTTGGACTGCACCTGAACTCCCCCTGCTCTCCTGCAGCCTTTGGGAACGCCAGAACTGTCCGGAATGACAACTCCTCCCGATTCGTGAGTGAGCTGGGCCCTGCGGGGGCCGTGTGGGTCCTGATGGGGCTGGGAGAACAGAGGGGATGGGGATGGAGATGGGGGGATATGGGGAATGTGGGGATGTGGGGGTATGGGGAATGTGGAGATGTGGGGAATGTGGGGATGGGGATGTGGATATGGGGATGGGGGGATATGGGGATGTGGGGAATGTGGGGATATGGGGATGGGGATATGGGGGGATATGAGGATGTGGGGATGTGGATATGGGAGGGATATGGGGATGTGGATATGGGGGGATATGGGGATGGGGGGATGTGGGGATATGGGGATGGGGGGATGTAGATATGGGGGGATATGGGGATATGGGGATGTGGATATGGGAGGGATATGGGGATGTGGGGATGGGGGGATGTGGATATGGAGGGATATGGGGATGGGGATGTGGGGGATGTGGATATGGGAGGGATATGGGGATGGGGATGTGGGGATGAGGGGATGTGGGGATATGGGGATGTGGGGATGTGGATATGGGAGGGATATGGGGATGGGGATGTGGGATGTGGATATGGGAGGGATATGGGGATGGGGGGATGTGGGGATATGGGGATGGGGGGATGTAGATATGGGGGGATATGGGGATATGGGGATGTGGATATGGGAGGGATATGGGGATGTGGGGATGGGGGGATGTGGATATGGAGGGATATGGGGATGGGGATGTGGGGGATGTGGATATGGGAGGGATATGGGGATGGGGATGTGGGGATGAGGGGATGTGGGGATATGGGGATGTGGGGATGTGGATATGGGAGGGATATGGGGATGGGGATGTGGGATGTGGATATGGGAGGGATATGGGGATGGGGATGTGGGGATGTGGGGATGTGGATATGGGGGGGATATGGGGATGTGGATATGGGGGGATATGGGGATGGGGATGTGGGGATGTGGATATGGGAGGGATATGGGGATGGGGATGTGGGGATATGGGGGGAGTGGAGCTGCCAGTCCCACCAGGACCCCCTTCCCTGACCCAGCCCCCTCTCCCAGGGCAAGTACATGGACATTGAGTTCGACTTCAAGGGCGAGCCCCTGGGAGGGGTGATCAGCAACTGTGAGTACCCACCAGGCATCCCACTGCACACACCCCCGTGGGAAAGTGATTTGGGGAAAATTCTCAGACCTGACAGAGGGTTCTGTCATCTGTGTACAAACCTTGAGGTAAAAAATACTGATTTGGATATACCATAGGGTAAGACAGATGTTGCTGAGAGAAAAATAGAACTAAAACCAAATTTCAAAAGGCAGCTTTGCAAAAAAGGCTTCGTGAAGCTTTGCAAAATTCAGAGAACTTGCGGAATACGTTATTAAATTATTCAAAGGTTTATTCTATTCATTATCCAAGCCACAACGTGATTTAACCCACCATGACCCCTCCCTGCAGACCTGCTGGAGAAATCCCGTGTTGTCCGGCACGTGAGGGGCGAGAGGAACTTCCACATCTTCTACCAGCTCCTGGCTGGGGCTTCACCACAGCTGCTCCGTAGGTCCAGTGTGGGGGATTTGGAGGTGGAGCAGGAGCTGGGGAGGATCAGGGCTGAACTTCCACCTCCTCTCCCCTCCACCAGAGCAGCTGAAGCTGCGCCAGGACTGTGGGCACTATGGATACCTGAAGCAGGAGGGCTCCAGCCTGCCTGGCATGGATGATGCAGCCAACTTCCACGCTATGCAGGTACCCACGGGAAGACAAGACCCCCCAGAAAAAATCCTGGAGCCCAGCTGTCCTGGTTTAGGGCAAATTTGGGAGAAAACCTCCAAAAGGGGGCCCCTCCAGAAAGCAAACCCACATGGCCCTCCTGCCCAACCAGCTGGGGAAGGATTCCTTAGAGAGAAGTGGAAAGAACCTGTTTATTTAACAGGCAAAGCACCCCTCAGCACACAGAATGAACAATAACAGGTGACACCACTCTGAAAAGGATGACAAATTCAGAAAGTCTCTCTTGGGGGTGGTTGCTCTGTTATCAGTCCCTCCTGTGCTGGGGTAGCTGCTGCACCTTGGCCACAAGGTGCAAACTCTCGGTGTTTCCCAGGTCCCAGTCTGGAGCAGGCTCGAGTTGGTCCAAAAAAGGGAAAGAAAAAACAGTCCAGGGAAAATTTGGACTGCTTAGCTAAACTAACTAATGAGCAGGAGCAAAGCAGGAGCAAGAGCAAAGGGAAAAGCAAAGCAAAAAGCAAAAGCAGCACTGCCCCATCTGTGTGTCCCACCAGTTGTGGGGGAGCAGCTGATAACAAAACCAAACCAAAACTTCCGAGCCAGTCTTGAAGGCACAGAACATAAAACCCAGCATAAACAGAACACAGGAATGGGGATACAAGCATCACAACATCACCCTAGGACACCCTTCTGTGTGTCCCACCAGTTGTGGGGGCGCAGGCTGATAACAAAACCAAAACCAAACATTCACCCTTCCGAGCCAGTCTTGAAGGCACAGAACATAAACCCCAGCATAAACACAACACAGGACTGGGGATACAAACATCCTAACATCACCCTAGGACACCACCCCATCCTCTGAGCTGTTGTGTCCATCTGTCCATCCCCAGGATGCCATGAGGGTCATTGGCTTCTCGCCTGCCGAGGTGACAGAGCTGCTGCAGGTGACGGCCGTGGTGCTCAAACTGGGCAACGTCCAGCTGAGCAGCAGCTTCCAGGCCAGCGGGATGGAGGCCTGCAGCATCAGCGAGCCCCAGGGTAGGGATGGGAATATTGGGGTGGGGGAGACCCCCTCGGCCCCTCCTTGGCTCTGGAAGTGCCTCTCCTCACCCAGAGCTGCGCGAGATCTGCGAGCTGATCGGGCTGGACCCCGGCACGCTGGAGAGGGCGTTGTGCTCCCGCACGGTGAAGGCACGGGACGAGACGGTGCTCACCACCCTCACTGTCCCCCAGGTGAGCAGCACCACCCCCAGCCATGGGGCTTGGCATATCTCAGGACTTCAGCTGCTCAGAGTGACCCCAAGATATGGTAGGAAGTCTCTTTTCCCAGCCCGGTGCTCGAAGGAGTCAGAGCTCTTAATTTCTCGGTCTCAAGGTTGTTTATTGTATCTTATTTATAATTTTTTTTCTCCTGTCCAGCTGAGGTCTGCTTAGCAAGGCAGTCAGAGGCACTCTGCCCACCTTTTTATACTAAAAACTACGTGTACAATATTTACAATAACTTCCCAATACCTATCACCTATGTTAGACACTGAGCTTCCACTCTAAACCAATCCAAAAGTGCCACCATCACAGCAGAAGATGGAGCCCAAGAAGAAGGAGGAGAAAGGCTGGACATGCCCAGATTCCTCTGTTTTGCCTCCTAAACCCCCATTCTAAATCCCCAAAATTCTACATTTTCACCCTGTGATTAATTCACTATCATTCTACTCAAACTCTTGTGCCTTGTAACTCCTCACACAAAGCTGGGAATTGTTCCCAGCCCTTGGGATGGTGTTAGTTTTTTATACTAAAAACTACGTGTACAATATTTACAATTACTTCCCAACACCTATCACCTGTGTTAGACAGTGAGCTCCTACTCTAAACCAATCCAAAAGTGCCACCATCACAGCAGAAGATGGAGGCCAAGAAGAAAAAGGACACATCCAAATTCCTCCATCTTGCCTCTTGAACCCCCATTCTAAATCCCCAAAATTCTACATTTTCACCCTGTGATTAATTCACTATCATTCTACTCAAACTCTTGGGGCTTGTAATCCTTCATATAAGGTTAGTCATTGTTTTTTCCAAGGGCTCAATCAAAGGCACAGGGGTCTTGGGCTCTGTGCCAAGGTCTCTGAGGCCCCTTGGGCAGGGTCTCGAGTCCTCCAGGGCAGCCTGAGGAATTTCCTGGGTTCTGACAATGATATATGTTATAAAATAATTTGTGCTAAAGGGAATTAAAACCACAGCATTTTGTGTACAAAGCCAATGTCGGGCAGCAAGCAGTAATAGGCTATGTGATAAAAATGGAGATCCAAGCATCATCAGACTGTCTCCAGGGATGTGTATTTCAAGGATTTTTTCCATCTGATAAGACCCCCAGCAGGAGGCGTTTGATAGGCATCATCAGAAGTTTATCCCAGAAAGTTTTCACCTGGCAGGATTCCACCAATTATCCACCAGTTCTGGGAAGCGGGACAGCGAGAAAGAAAAACTATGATAATATGCTAAAATATGCTAAAGAAGAGCCCAAAAAACTGTATAAAACCCCTTAGAAATGACATTTGGAGACCCACAGGGACTTTGGTGCAGTAGAAACCAAACCCTGAGTCTCCCCGACCCTGATCGCCTGGCTGAGTCGAGATTGCTTGTGGCTTTTCCCAAATTTATACCTTGATGATTTCATAAATGTCCTCAATTATTGAATTGGATGATTCATTTAGAACGGGCTGGTGCCTGGCAGCCCACCATGAGCTCCCCTGTCCCCTCTCCCCAGGGTTACTACGGCCGGGACGCGCTGGCCAAGAACATCTACAGCCGCCTCTTCGACTGGCTGGTGCAGAGGATCAATGCCAGCATCCAGGTGAGCTCCAGGAGATCCTGGAGCCCCAGAAGGAGCCTGGACCCTCACCCCACACAGGGCTCAACACCTCGTTATGCCCCCAGGTGAAGTCGGACAGGCAGAGGAAGGTGATGGGTGTCCTGGACATTTATGGCTTTGAGATCTTCCAGGTGAGTGAAGGATCCGCCAGGGGGTTGGGAGCAGCATTTGAGGCACAGGGCAGGGCTGGAAGCTCAGGAAGCAGCTGCCGTAAAGGATCCTTCTCTCTCAGGACAACGGGTTTGAGCAGTTCATCATCAACTACTGCAACGAGAAGCTGCAGCAGATCTTCATCCTGATGACGCTGAAGGAGGAGCAGGAGGAATACGTCCGAGAGGTACCTCCAGCCCTTCCCAGAGCACAGCCCTGATGAGTTTCAGCCCCTCTGGGACAGGGAAGTGCTGGAGACGGCTCTGCTGCACGTTCCTCCCTCGCCCTGCTCCCTGCTGAGAGCACATTCAATGGCAGGAAGGGATTTAGGATCCTCAATCCCGTGGCCGGACATCCGGTTCCTGCCCCACAGCAGCTGTGGTGTCCGTGGGGCAGGGTCTGGTTATTCCTGTGTCTGACCCACATCTCCTCTCAGGGCATCCAGTGGACCCCAGTGGAGTTTTTTGACAACAGCATCATCTGCAACTTAATTGAGAACGTGAGTTGCCCACCCAGTGCTGGGATCTTGGGGTTCCAGCTCCTCTCACAGCCCAAACTGGGATCCACTGGGTTGGTTTGAGGTGACACCTTGATTGAGATCATGAATTGCCCACCCAGTGCTGAGATTTTGGGGTTCCAGCTCCCACCACAGCCCAAACTGGGATCCACTGGGTTGGTTTGGGGTGGCACCTTGATTGGGATCATGAGTTGCCCACCCAGTGCTGAGATTTTGGGGTTCCAGCTCCTCTCACAGCCCAAACTGGGATTTCACTGGGTTGGTTTGGGGTAACACCTTGATTGAGAACATGAGTTGCCCACCCAGTGCTGGGATCTCGGGGTTCCTGGTCCCCCCCCACAGCCCAAACTGGGATTTCACTGGGTTGGTTTGGGGTGACACCTTGATTGGGATCGTGAGTTGCCCACCCAACTTGGGGTGGGATCCACTGGGGCTGGTTTGGGGTGACCCCATCCCTCATGGTGACACCATCCATCGCACAGAGCACCACAGGGATCCTGGCCATGCTGGATGAGGAGTGCCTGAGGCCCGGCGTGGTCAACGAGGACACGTTCCTCACCAAACTCAACCAGCTCCTGGCCACACACAAGCACTACGAGAGCAAGGAGACGCAGAACGCCCGGCGTGTCACCGACGCCAGCCTGCCACCGCGCTGCTTCCGCATCCACCACTACGCTGGCAAGGTCTGGCAGTGCCCTGATCCTCCTCCCTGTGCCACATTGCTCATCCCAGAGCCCTGATCCTCTTCCCAGCACCCCGATCCTCTTCCCAGAGCCCTGATCCTCTTCTTTGTACCACGCTCCTCTTCCCAGAACCCTGATCCTCATCCCAGAGCCCTGATCCTCTTCCCAGAACCCTGATCCTCATCCCAGAGCCCTGATCCTCTTCCCAGAGCCACGTTCCTCATCCCAGAACCCTGCTCCTCTTCCCAGCACCCCGGTCCTTTTCACAGCACCCTGGTTCTCTTTCCAACACCCTGGTCATCTTCACAATGCCCCAGTTCTCTTTCCAGCACCCCAATTCTCTTCCCAGCACCCCAATCCTCTTCCCAGCACCCTGATCCTATTCTCAGTGCTCCAATCCTCTTCCCAGCACCCTGATCCTTTTTTTGGAACCCCAGTTCCCTTCCCAGTGCCTCAGTTCCCCTTCCCACCTTCGCACAGGAGATGTGGGGCTGTACTAGACTGGGATCAGACTGGATCTGCCCCACTCCCTGCCCAGGCGCTGACCCCACCGCCCTCCCCAGGTGACCTACAACGTGACGGGCTTCATCGAGAAGAACAACGACCTCCTCTTCCGTGACCTCTCGCAGGCCATGTGGGCAGCCCAGCACGCTCTGCTGCGCTCGCTCTTCCCCGAGGGAGACCCCCAAAAGGTCTCCCTCAAGCTGCCCCCCACTGCAGGCTTCCAGTTCAAGTCGTCCGTGGCGATGCTGATGAGGAACCTCTACTCCAAAAACCCCAACTACATCAGGTACCGGCCCCTGGGGTATTTTCAGAGCTCTCCAGAAGAGGGGGAATGGTTGAATTTGATTCCATGTTCTTAGAAGGCTAATTTATTATTTTATGATCTATATTATATAAAAGAATGCTATACTAAAACCATATTATACTAGTAGTAGTATTTAACATCCTTGATCCACTACAGTCAAAGACAACCAGTACAACAATTTCCTGGACCCTATTTGTGAAGGCAAGGATATTTATGAGATTTTTGTTAAGATTTTGGGGTGGGTCCTCACTGTTGATGTGCTGTCTGTTGATCAATGTATCTCTGTCTGTATCAGGGTTGCATTGACTTTGAATCTTCATATTTGAGTAATTTTTAAAAGAAAATGAGAGAATATAACACAGACATTGGAGAACACTGAGAATACTGAGTTGTAAGAATAGAGAAAGGATACAGACAGAAGGCTTAACAAGATACTAATGAAAAACCCATGACTCCTTCCAGAGTCCCAACACAGCTGGCTGTGATTGGTCACTAAATAAAAAAATTCACATGAAACCAATCAAAAATGACCAGTTGGTAAAGAATCCCCAAACTGCATTCCAGAGCGGCAAAACACAGGAGAAGCAAATCAGATAATTATTGTTTTCATTTTTTTCTCCGAAGCTTATCAGCTTCCCAGGAGAAGAAACCCCGGTGAAGGGAATTTTCAGAAAATGTGACAGAGACACCCCCGGGGGCGTCTCTGAGCACCCCAAAATCCCCCCCTAAACCACCAACTGTGCTCTGCAGGTGCATCAAACCCAACGACACCAAGTCAGCCATGGTGTTCACGCCGGAGCTGGTGCTGGCCCAGGTGCGCTACCTGGGGCTGCTGGAGAACGTGCGGGTGCGGCGGGCGGGCTACGCCTTCCGCCAGCTCTACGGGCCCTTCCTGCAGCGCTACAAGATGCTCAACGCCCAAACGTGGCCCCGTTGGGACCGTGGGGACAGGTAATGGGACTGGTACACACCCCTGTGAGGGTCAGGGGGCTGCCAAGGGAGGCAGAGCGGAAGTTTTCCAGGGTAGAAATCCGTTTTGATTTAGGTGAGATGTGCGTTTTTGAGTTGAGTCTGTGGTTAGAAAACACGGCTGTTTAGCCTGACTGCAAAAGCCTGGGCTCAGAGAAACTGCTTCAGGGAAGGACAGAGGTAAGGGGAGGGAGACAGAAGGTGATAGAGAAAGACAGAGAGACTGCTGTGAGAGCAGGTCAACCCGACCTAGGAATTCTTTCTGATAAAGAAGAACTAGCAGCAAATGTCACACGAAATTCATAAAAATGAATATGTATCAAGGTGTGACGGTGTTCACAGGGGTCTTAGGATGAGGGAAGAGACAAAGATCTGACTCCATGTTTCAGAAGGCTTGATTTATTATTTTATCATATATATTACATTAAAACTATACTAAAAGAATAGAAGAAAGGTTTCATCAGAAGGCTGGCTAAGAATAGAATAAGAAAGAATGATAACAAAGGCTTGTGGCTCAGCTCTCTGTCCGAGCCAGCTGGGCTGTGATTGGCCATTAATTACAAACATCCAACATGGGCCAATCAAAGATTCACCTCTTGCATTCCACAGCCACAGATAATCAATGTTTACATTTGGTTCCTGAGGCCTCTCAGCTTCTCAGGAGGAAAAAATCCTAAGGAAAGGATTTTTCATAAAAGATGTCTGTGACAAACCTGACCTAAGAATTCTTTCTGATAAAGAAAAACTAGCAGCAAACGTCACACGAAATTCGTAAACATGAATATGCATGAACCTATTGTGAAATTCCATGCATATATATTTGAGAGGGGGATAAAAAGGGACCTGAAGTTCCCAGAAGTACATGTGTCATTTTAAAAGAACCATTCCCACACGCATCCAGCGCTGTAATAAACATACCGGCTTTACAACTTCCACAAAAATTGTGGAGTTTTGATTATCTCCGCAAAACACCAACCCCAAACTGTTGTCTTATATATCATGAGTTCCATTATCATTACAGTGCAAGGATTCCATATCACCAGAGTTTCACACCTCCTCAATGTTTCTCGTAGGCAGCTCCTCTAAGCACTGACTGTTCCTGGTCCTTGCAGCAGCCATCCAACTCCAGACCCCACCAATCCACTCTTTTATACCACTGTTCTTTTTGGCTTCTTACTGGTGTGGCCTGTTAACATCAGGCCTGCTCCTAATTTTTAGTAATTGGTTCAGCTGCACATCTTTGCGGGGGGATAAGATTACATTCTAGACCACCTTCATACCCTGGATCCCTCTACACCAACTCTGCCCCGATGCAGGGAGGGGACCGAGGTGCTGCTGGCAGGTCTGGAGCTCCCCGCCGAGGAGCTGGCGTTTGGCCACACCAAGATCTTCATCCGCTCGCCGCGCACCGTGAGTTTGGGAACGGGGCAGTTCCAGGAGGGATCTCAGTTTGTCCTGTGAGTTTCTGGGGCTGCTCAGTGAGCCCGTGCTTGCCGTGGTTGTGCCCAGCTCTTCGACCTGGAGCGGCGGCGCCAGGAGCGCGTGGCCCAGCTCGCCACCCTCATCCAGAAGATGTTTCGGGGCTGGCGGTGCCGGACCCAGTACCAGCTGATGCGCAAGAGCCAGATCCTCATCTCTGCCTGGTTCCGTGGCCACAGGGTGAGGAGAGGACGGGCCCTGGCCATGCTTCCCCTGCCCACCCCTCTCCCCCTGGCTCTCCAAGCCCACCCCACTCACTCTCTTGTTCCCCCGCAGCAAAAGAACCGGTACAAGCAGATGAAGCGGTCGGCACTGATCCTCCAGGCGTATGCACGGGGCTGGAAGGTGAGGGCTGGGCAGCTCCAGAGCCACCATGGGGCTGGCCTGGTGTGGGGCAGCAGGGTGGGTGGGGACAGGGGCTCTGTGTGCCCCACGGTGGCACCAGGAGCTCCGTGCATCCCACGGTGGGACCAGATTCACCCTCATCTCCTCTCCCCGTCTTTCCTCCTTCTCTCCTGCCTCTCTCCTGCCTCTCCCTCTCTCTCCATGTCTGTGTTGGTGTCTCCCCCTCGGGCTCCCTGGGCTCTCCACCCCTGCAGTCTCGCCGGCTCCTCCGGGAGCTGAAGTCCCAGTGCCGACGCCACGCGGCCGCCACCACCATCGCTGCTCATTGGAGAGGGTATCAGGTAACGGGGCCACGTGCCCTCAGGCCGCCTCTGTCCTGCTGTCCGTGCCGTCTGTCTGTCTGCCCACCCCACTCCTGCCCACCCTGTCGGGCTGGAACCTCTGTTCTCTCCACTGGAGCCAAAGAGGGATGGGGGACGTGGGGGATGTGGGGGACAGGGAGGACATGGGGGACCCTTTGTGGGGCTGGTGGTGATGTCTTGGTGTCCTCACCGCTGGCACTGTCCCCACAGGCACGCAGGACCTACAGGAAATATTTCCGTTCCAGCGCCAGCACCTGCCTGGCCAACTTCATCTACCGGCGACTGGTGAGTGGGGCTGGGGGAGAGGGGACCACACTGCCATGCCAGCCCCCTGCCCTGCTGGGTGCCCCTGCCCTCCCCTGACCCCTTGCCACATCACCCACAGGTGCAGAGGTACCTGGTGGGGCTGGCCAAGAACCTCCCCCCGCTGTCGGTGACCGACCGGACCTGGCCCCCGGCGCCCTACAAGTTCCTGGGTGAGACCAACCAGGAGCTGAAAAACATCTTCTACCACTGGAAGGTGGGAACAGGGGAGAATTCCAGGTTGGATTTTGGTGTGCCAGCTCACCTGAGAGAGGTCTTTGGTGGCACCAAATCGTCCCCTCCCTCGGCAGTGCAAGAAGTACCGGGACCAGCTGCCGGCGTCGCGGCGGGCGCAGCTGCAGGCCAGGCTCTGCGCCAGCGAGCTCTTCAAGGACAAGAAGACCCTGTACCCCAAAAGGTGCCAGGGCAGGGGGCTGGGGGTGCAGGGGAGCTCAGGGCAGCAGTGGCTGATGGCCTCGTCCCCAGCCTGCAGCAGCCTTTCCGTGGGGAGTACCTGGGGCTGAAGCAGAACCCCAAGTACCAGAAGCTGCACGCGGTGGCCAAGGACAAGCTGGTGATGGCCGACAGCGTGAGGAAGGTGAACAGGGCCAGTGGGAAGGTGAGATCTGCTTTGGGGCCATGCTCTGGGCTGTGGGAGGGCACACGGGGACACCGTGACCCCCTGCTCTGACCCCCTGGCCACCCTGAGCCCCTGCCCACGCTGACCATCTGCCCATGCTGACCCCCTGCCCACAATGACCACCTGCTCTTGGTGACCCCCTGTCCACACTGACCCCCTGCTCTTGGTGACCACCTGCCTACACTGACCCCCTGCCCACGAGGACCATGTGCCCACACTGACCCCCTGCTCATGGTGGCCACCTTCCCACACTAACCCCCTGCCCACACTGACCACCTGCCCACACTGACCATGTGCCCACACTGACCCGCATGCCCACGCTGACCCCCACCCACAGACAGTCCCACGCCTGCTGCTCCTCACCACCGAGCACCTGGTCCTGGCTGACCCCAAGGCCGCCCAGCCCAAGACCGTGCTCAGCCTCAGTGACATCCGTGGCGTCTCAGTCACCCGCTTCTCCGACGGCTTCCTGGCCCTGCACCTCAAGGAGGTACCTGGGGAGGGGGGCCCTGGGGGCTCAGGGGGTCCCCAGCAGGGCTGACCCCCTGTTTGCCCCACAGGTCTCCACGGTGGGGGCCAAGGGTGACTTCCTGCTGGTCAGTGACCACCTCATCGAGCTGGTGACCCGCCTGTACCAGACCTTCGAGGCCACCACGGGGCAGGCGCTGCCCCTGCACATCACTGACAGGTGTGGGTGGGGCTTTGTTGGGCGTGGTTACAGTGGGTGTGGTCACAGTGGGCAGAGTCTGAAGGGAAGACCTCAATGGGTGGGGCAGGACAGGGCTGGGAGCGCAGAGGGCGTGGCCTCTGTGGGTGTGGGTATTGGAGGGTGGGGTTATTGTGGGTGGGACAGGGCGGTGCTCAGGGTGGGGTTGAGGTGGGGGTGGAGCCTCCAAGGGTGGGGCATCATGTAAGTGATTTGATTGGCTGCAGCAGGAAGCTGCTGAGGAGTGGGTGTAACCAAGGCAGTTCATTGGGCAATGAGGGGACGGGTGTGGGCGCGTCCCCCTCCCACCTCTCCATCCTGATTCCTCCCCTCCATCCTCCTCCTCCAGGTTCTCCACCCGCTTCCCGAAGGGCGACGTGTCCATCACCGTGGTGGAGTCCCCCAAGGCCAGCACCAACGGCCCTGTCTGCAAGAAAAAGGGCAGCAACAAGATGGAGGTCCTGGTGTACTGAGGGGACCCTCACCAGGACCCCCACCCTCACCCTGGCACCCTGACACCCCCTTTATGTCATCCCCCACCCCATGGGTGCTGGCAGCACCCAGGCATCGCTCCAAGCCCATTAAAGGGATGCTGACGTGTCGGTACCAGGGCGGTGTCACCTCCTTACAGGTGGGGTGGGACCTCAGGGGGCAGTGCCCAAGCTGGGGGGGCACAGCCTGGTGATGTAGCCCCTGATCCTGGCCTCCTGCTTTCCTGACTTTTCCTGATCCCTGATTGCAGCCAGCACTCAGCTTGTGGTGATTGGAGAGGCTCCAAATTGTGGCCACTTTTCCCATCAAGTGGCTCACAGCTCGCGCTGCTTCAGAGGCAATTTCTTGGCAGCCGTGGGTGGCTGCATGTGAGGTCCCTGTCATCCTCCTGCCTGCTCTGGATGTCCTTGTGCCCCTGCCCAAGGTCCCCCCACCCTGCTGCAGGACACCCTTGCCCTGGCTGGTGCTGGAGCTGCACTTAGGGACCAGGAACATGGAGAATGGGACAGAGGGAATTCACTGCACAGCCCCAGTGACTCTGCAGCCCAGGACCTGTGGGACCTCCATCAGTCCTGCACCCCTCAGGTGCCTCAGGACCCCAACAGGACCCCCATCAGTCCTGCAGTGCCCAGGACTCTGGATCCCCACCAGTCCTGCAGCTCTCAGGATCTGTGGGACCCTTCCAGCCCCAAGAATCCTCAGGACCCCATCAGCCCTGCAGCCCCCAGGTTCTTCAGGAGCTCCATCAATCCTTCAACCCCCCAGGATCCATGGGACCCCCTCCCAGCCCCCAGAACCCTCAGGACTCCCACCACTCCTGCAGCCCCCAGGACCCCACAGCCTTCATGACAGGGTCTCCCTCCCTTTTCTGCCTTTCCCCCCCTGCACTCATCATGCTCTTGATGAGGCTTTTTATCCTGTCCCCACACATCACCCGCGTTACCTCGGGGAGCTGCCAACTCCCCGTCACGTCACCATCAGCACCAGCTCCCAGGTGGGCCCTGGAGCAGCTCCAGCACGTGGGTGGGGCACGTGCGTGTGCACAGTGGCACTTTTGGTGGCCTGGCCGTGTCCCAGCACCGAGGGCTCCCCGCTCTGTCACGTCCCAGCACCAGGGACCTTCCCCCTCGCCCATAAACAAGCCCGGGGCACCGCGGCTCTTCACAGCTGCGTCGCACTTGGCATCTCACAAGTAGGTGTTATTAATTAATTAGACCGTCTCTGGCCAGGCTCCGATTTAATTAACGTTGCCGGTGCTGCAGATGCTGCCCTGCCCCGGGCTGTGTTGCCACGTGAGCCGCTTTCCCGAGGGGCTGCTGCAGCCACCGGAGCAGTCACCACTGCCTGTTGCTCGGGATGGAGACCTTGGCTCTCGTGTGTTGGCCCAGTCCTTCCCTCTTTGCTGGTGCCCCTCTGCTTACCCCCAAATTTTCCTCCCCATCTTCCACCTTGGCGCATCCTGGCATGAGAGAGGGCAGGCCTGGCGTGCAGCAATGGGGCAGGGCGTGAGGTACCTGTGAGCGCGTGTGTGCAGGCACACCTGTGCTCGTGTGTGCAGCTGAACACGTGTGTGGGAGCCTGGCCAACCCCCTCTCACCCACGAGACCCCCAAATCCAGCGTGCACCACCCAGCATCCAGCCAGGACCACTCCTCCATGCGTGTCCCCACACGTGCCAACAGACACATGGTGACATCATCACAACGAGGGGCTGGGGGGCTGCGTGGGCACCGTGCCCGTGTGGTGACCCCCTATTCTGAGGTTCCTGCATGGGCACAGTGCCCATGTGCTGACCCCCCACCCCAAGGTGCCAGCGTGGGCACAGTGCCTGTGTGCTGACCCCCACCCCAGAATGGGCACAGTACCCATGTGCTGACCCCCATTCTGGGGTTCCTCCATGGGGACAGTGCCCATGTGCTGACCCCTACCCTGGGTTTCTGCGTGGGAACGGTACCCATGTGCTGACCCCCATTCTGGGTTTCCTGCATGGGCACAGTGCCCATGTGCTGACCCCTACCCTGGGTTTCCTGCATGGGCACTGTGCCCGTGTGCTGACCCCCATTCTGAGGTTCCTGCATGGGCACAGTGCCCATGTGTTGACTCCCCACCCCAGAATGGGCACGGTACCCATGTGCTGACCCCCATTCTGGGTTCCTGCGTGGGCACGGTGCCCGTGTGCTGACCCCCCACCCCAGGGTGCCAGCGTGGGCACGCGTGTGCCGCTGTGTGACTCCGCTGTGTGTGAGTGCTGCGTGGGCGTGAAGCTGCAGGCTGGGGGTACCACCTCCCCCTGGCCCCCATTGGCAGCTCTCCTCTTGCCCACCCACGCCGTGCCATGGGCAGAGCCCCTTATTTAGCGCCGTGCAGCAGCTGCTGCCCCGGTATTTCGCCTCCCGGCTGAGCCCGGGCCGGGGGAGCTGCCCACCACCACCTCTGCCCATCACCGCTGCCCACCACCACCTCTGCCCACCCTCTGCTGCCCACCACCGCGCCTCGAGGGGTCCCTGCTCCACAGCCACCAGCGCCGAGGGTCCCTCAGCCCCCGACTCCACCGGCAGGTCGGTGTCCCTGTGTCCCCCACGGTCCTGGGGGCTTCTCGGGGGGTCCCGGGGAGCTGCTGTGCCCTGTGCTCACCCCGCTTGGGGTTAGGGGAAGGCAGGAGGAGGAAGAGGAGGTTGGGACGGCGCTGGGGAGGGCGCAGGAAGGGGGAGAGATGGGGTGAAGGCGTCGGTTGAATTTGGGGAGGGTTTGGTGAGGGGCTCTGGAAGCAAATCGAGCTGTGGGCAGGCATATGCGTGCCAGGGGATGCCAGCGTGCCAGGGAGCGTGCCAGGGGACACGGGTGTGCTGAGACCGGGTGAACGTGCAGGACGGAGCCCGAGCCGTGTCCGTGCCCCACCCTCGCGTTTGCACGGCTCGTGTGCGAGTGCACAACCGTGGCACCACGGCCACCAGCGGGGACACGGCACCTCCGGGCCCCCTGCACGCCCCGTAATGACCCCCCCAACCCTGGAATGCACCCCCGGGGGTCCAAGGGACACCGGCAGCCCGGGAAGCGGCGCGGTCCCTCCTCCGCACACCCGAGAGGGGGTCCCGCCGCCCCCGGCCCGCCCGTCTCCCGTCTCTTTCCCTCCCCAGAGCCCGGTTCGCTTCAGACTCATCCGGGGCCGCCCCATCGAGGGTTCGCCGGCTCGGGACAGCCCCGGGAAGCTCCGTCGCTGATCGCTGTCCCCCTGAGGATGAAGAACCGACCGGTGCTGGCGGTGCTGCTGCTCCTGGCGCTGCCGCTCACCCCCGCCCGCCGCGCCCCCGCCGCCCCGCCGGGCCCCGCGCTGGTACGGCCGTCGGAGGGGGGGAACGGCGGGCGGATCCCGGATCCCCGGGACCCCCCGGACCCCTTCCCACCCCTCTCACCCGCTTTGCTCCCGCAGGGGATGCCCGTCCCGGAGCCGCTGCCGTGGAGCCCCCGCGGCAGCCCCGGGGCCGCCGCCGCCGCCGCCGCCGCGCTGGAGCTGCTGCGGGAGGAGGGCGCCGGTGAGGGGCGGGAGGGCTCGGATGGGAGGGTGTCGGTCCGCCCGGTGCTCGCTCACCTGTTTCGGTCTCTTCCAGGTCCCCCCGCGGCGCCGCAGAAGAGTAAGTCCCGCCCGGTGCCGGTGTCGGTACCGGCGCCGGTACCGGTGCCGCTGACGGCCGGTCTCTCCGCAGGAGACATGCACGATTTCTTCGTGGGGCTCATGGGGAAGCGAGCAGCGGAGCCTGGGCGAGCGGCGGGGCGGGGAGGCGGCAGCCCGGCCCCCCGGTGCTCCCCGGGACCCCCCGCTCCCGGAGAGGCCCCGCTGCGGGCGGCCTGAGCGGCGGAACGAGCCCCGCACGGGGCTGTGTCCGGTGTCCCGGGGATGGTGGGACCGGCTGCGGGAGCGTCCCGGGCTCCGGCGCCCACGGAGCCGTCGGGAGCGCGGCGGTGCCGCCCCACGTGCGCGTGTCCGTGCACCTGTGTACACCTGGACGTGTCCCGTTATACACCCACCCGTGTCTGCGCGGGACACGCGCAAAATGCGGCTCCGTGTCTTGGCTGCGCCTCCGGGACCCGCTCGGGACAGCCCGGGGGATGGGGATGCGGGGATGGGGCCGCAGGGATGGGGATGCGGGGATGGGGATGTAGGGATGAGCCCGCGGGGATGGGGATGCGGGGATGGGGATGTAGGGATGAGCCCGCGGGGATGGGGATACGGGGATGGGGATGCGGGAATGAGCCCGCGGGGATGAGCCCACGGCACCACCGGGGCCGGGGTTCGTGTTCTCTTGGGCTACAGCGACCTGTCCCTTCCCCACGGCAGCCCCCGTAACTGGAGAAGTGCCCGTGTCCCTTCCCGTGTCCGTGTGTCCGTGCCCCTGTCCGTGTCCCTTCCCGTGTCCGTCTGTCCGTGCCCCTGTCCGTGTCCCTTCCCGTGTCCGTGTGTCCGTGCCCCTGTCCGTGTCCCTTCCCGTGTCCGTGCCTGTCTTCATGCCCCTTCTTTCCGTTCCAGTGTGTAAATACCACACCAGTGTCCGTGTCTGTGTGTCCTCCCCGTGTCCGTCTGTCCCGCCCCGTGTCTATGTGTCCTGCCCCATGTCCATGTCCGTGTGTCCCTCACCGTGTCCGTCTGTCCCGCCCCGTGTCCGTTTGTCCCTCCCTGTGTCCATGTCTCCTGCCCGTGTCCATGTGTCCGTGTCCGTGTCCGTGTGTCCCTCCCCATGTCCATGTGTCCGTGCGTCTCTCCCCGTGTCCATGTGTCCATGTCCATGTCCGTGTGTCCCGCCCCGTGTCCGTGTGTCCCTCCCCGTGTCCGTGTGTCCTGCCCCGTGTCCGTGTGTCCGTGTCCGTGTGTCCCTCCCCGTGTCCGTGTCCGTGTGTCCTGCCCCGTGTCCGTGTGTTCATGTCCGTCTGTCCCGTCCCGTGTCCGTGTGTCCCTCCCTGCGTCCATGTGTCCCTGCCCGTATCCGCGTCCGTGTGTCCGTGTCCGCGTGTCCCGCCCGGTGCCCCCGCTCCGGTTCCTCCTCTCCGCACGGGGGCGCTGCCGCCGGCGGCTCCCGGAAGGCGGCGCGGGCCGGGGCGGGCGCGGGGCGGGTCGGCGCCTTTGTGTGAGCCGGGCCGGGATGGTGCGGGGCGCCGGGCGGGTAAGGAGCGACCCCCGCCCGCCACCCCCGGCCCCCTCAGGTCTCCCGAGCCGCGTCCCCGCCGCCAGCCCCGCTCCGACCCTCCCCGGGGCCTCCCGCCGCCTTTCGTGGCTCTTCCCGGGGTCCCTTCCTGCCCCGCTCCCCGGGCCCACCGGGGACGCCGCTGTCCCTCCCCTCCATCTCCTCCCGTTTCTCCCGGAGCAGCTCCGGGCCTTCCCCCTTCCCGCTGCCCCCCTTCCCTCCGGTTCTTTCCCCTTCTGCCCCATCCCCTCCGCAGGCATCCCCAATTGCCCAGCTGCTTTTTGGGCTGGGCAGCGTTTCCAGAGCCTTCCTCCCGGCATCTTCATCCTCCTCCTCAGCTGCCGGTGGTGTTTTCCCCCATCCCTCCCATCCCCGGGAGAACAGCTCGTTCTCTGGGTTTTGGTTTTTCCCGGAGCTGGGGCAGAGGCAGCTCCAGCCCCTCCAAACTTCTGCTCTTTGCTGCCTTCTGGGCTCGCTGTTCCCTGTCTCAGGGCGGGGAATGCGGGGAATTAGGAATAGGGGAATTAAGGATAGAGTTTCCTGGGTAAGTTGGTGAAATCCCAAGAGCTGGTGGGGTGTCTGTGAGCAGGACAGAGGGACAAAAGCAGGGAGGAATGGCCGGTGCTGTGGGACAGGTGTGGTGGCAGCTGAGGAATCCGAGAGGTGCTGCCAGGAAATCCCGGGGGAATCCATCCCAGGGGAATCCATCCAGGGGAATCCATCCCGGGGGAATCCATCCAGGGGAATCCAGAGGCTGGAATGCAGAGAATCCCACCTGGGAGCCTGAAGTCTCCTTGTGGGTCCAGGTGGAATCTGAAGTGAAGGAATGAAGTGGCTGCAGCTGGAGGAGACCTAGAGGTGAATCCAGCTGGCGTGTCCGGCCTGAGTAACATCTCTTTGGAGAGGAGCCTCATCCCCAGCTCGGGAAGAGGGAGAGGTCTGGAACAGGCTCTGGTTTGGTCTCAGGGTCAGCAGGATCTCTGTCCCTGCCCCTGTAGCAGTGGGAGCTTCAGGCTGCCCCTGAGAATCTTTTTGTTTTGACTTTGCTGCTTTGCACATCCAGCTTTTCACTTCCCAAAACTGAGCTGACAAGACAGGTTTAGTCCATCTCCAGCTGAGCAGCTGCTCTGTGGCTCCTCAGAAAGTTGGAAAACGGGAGGTATGACCAGAGTGACGTTGCTTTGGTTGTTAAATAACATTTTTTTTTTTGCGTTTCCCCTCTGCAGAGCCCCTTGCCCTGCCAATTCCTGCTCCCGCCGCGGATGAGAGCGTGAAGGCCGAGCTGACCAGCAGAAAGGACTCTTAAAGCAGCTGCTAAGATGGGCATGAGGATCAAGCTGCACAGCACCAACCACCCCAACAACCTGCTGAAGGAACTCAACAAGTGCCGCCTCTCCGAGACCATGTGCGACGTCACCATCCTGGTGGGCTCCCGCTCCTTTGCCGCGCACAAGGCCGTGCTGGCCTGTGCTGCTGGCTACTTCCAGAACCTCTTCCTCAACACTGGGCTGGACGCTGCCAGGACCTACGTGGTGGATTTCATCACACCGGCCAACTTTGAGAAGATCCTGAGCTTTGTGTACACCTCGGAGCTCTTCACCGACCTCATCAATGTGGGGGTGATCTACGAGGTGGCGGAGCGGCTGGGCATGGAGGATCTGCTGCAGGCTTGTCACTCCACCTTCCCTGACCTGGAGAGCTCGGCCATCACCAAGCAGCCTGCTCTGTCTGTGGGGGAAGGCAGGGCTGGGGTGCTGAGCAGCACCTCCTCGGAGCAGAGCCACTCTTTGGGGGACATCCGGAGTGGCGCGGAGCATTTCGGCCCCGAGCGGAATTATCTCCTGCACGGGGACGTGGTGGGAAGCTACAAAGAGGATGACAGGAATGCTGTGGGTGAGGCCAGCCAGGCTCTTCCCCTGATGCACCCACAGCAGCCTCCCAAGACAGAGCAGGAGTCTGATGCAGGACAATTCACTCCAGTCACGGGTCTGGGGGCTCAGCCTGGTGGGAATGTCGTGGCACAGACCACTGGCAGCTCCTGCCCTCAGTACAAGGCCCAGAGCAATGGTGACTACAGCAAGGGTGGCTTCTTCCCCACTGACCCCTCCCTGGATGTCTCCACGGGGAGCAATTCCTGCCCCAGCAACAGCGACCACTCCAAAGAGCAGGGATTCGAGCAGATGGATGAGCTCCAGCTGGAGGATTTGGGAGAGGCTGAGCTGCATTTTGAGGATGCTGGAGAAGAGCTGGTCCCATCTGAGGAAGTGATAGAGCTGAGTGATGACAGCGAGGAGGAGCTGGCCTTCGAGAGCGACAGCCGGGACAGCAAGGCCATGCCCTGCCAGGTGTGCAAGAAGGTTCTGGAACCCAACATCCAGCTGATCCGCCAGCACGCCAGGGACCACGTGGACCTGCTGACAGGGAACTGCAAGGTCTGTGAGACCCACTTCCAGGACCGTAACTCCAGGGTGACCCACGTGCTGTCCCACATCGGCATCTTCCTCTTCTCCTGCGACATGTGCGAGACCAAGTTCTTCACCCAGTGGCAGCTGACGCTGCACCGGCGGGACGGGGTCTTCGACAACAACGTCATTGTCCACCCCAGCGACCCCCTCCCGGGCAAGGTGGCTGTTTTTGGGGGAGGGCCCGGCCCTGAGCTGGCCTGTGCTGCCTGTGGGAAGCCCTTGGCCAAAGATTTCCAGACGGTCCGGAACCACCTGCTGGAGCATGTGAACCTGAAGAGCCAAACGTGCGGCGTGTGCGACCAGCGGCACCTGAGCCTCTGCAGCCTGCTGTGGCACGCCCTGTCCCACCTGGGCATCTCTGTCTTCTCCTGCTCTGTGTGTGCCAGCAGCTTTGTGGACAGGCAGCTCCTGGAGAAGCACCTGGCCGTGCACCAGCACGTGGAGGAGGCTCTTTTCCAGTGCCACTTCTGCAGCCAGAGCTTCAAGCTGGAGGCCGCTTATCGCTACCACGTCAGCCAGCACAAATGTGGGGGCAGCCTGGACATCCGGGCGGGATTTGGGGAGCGCCTGCAGCCCCAGGGGCTGCCCAAGAGGAAGCTGCCCGAGGAGTTCTTGAGCGAGGATCTGGCGCTGCAGAACCAGCCAGGGAACAGCAAGTACAGCTGCAAGGTTTGTGGCAAGAGGTTTGCCCACACCAGCGAGTTCAACTACCACCGGCGCATCCACACCGGGGAGAAGCCGTACCAGTGCAAGGTGTGCCACAAGTTCTTCCGAGGGCGTTCCACCATCAAGTGTCACCTGAGGACACACTCGGGGGCCCTGATGTATCGCTGCACCGTGTGTGGCCACTACAGCTCCACGCTCAACCTGATGAGCAAGCACATAGGGGTGCACAAGGGCAGCCTCCCGCCAGATTTCACCATCGAGCAGACTTTCATGTACATCATCCATTCCAAAGAGGCTGAGAAAAACACGGATAGCTGATGGGGAAGAAGAGTGTTCATTAATGATGGAGGAGGAGGAAAAAAGGAAAGAGAAAAAAAAAAAAAAAAGAAACAAACCAAGTTGTTTCGTTTTATTTAATGGTCAGGCATCATGGATGGAATTCTTTTTTGGTTTTGGTTTGATTTTTTTAATTTTATTTTATTATTTTTGGGCCTTCCTAGGGCTTTTTAGATTGGTGGCGTTGTACAAATTAACAGCACGTGAGGTACATCACTGTTTCAAGGAGTCTGTCGTGTTTACTTACCTCTGGTCCTGTTAGAGACCATCTGTGCTTTTAGCATTTCTCACTAGTTTTTGAGTCTAGATTCTATTTTTCTTTTTTTTTTTTTAACCTTTTAGCCCTCTTGACCAGGCTAAGCTTGTCCACAAACTGATGCTGCTAAGATTTTCACACCTGACCTCAGTGGAGAGGGACAGAGCCAGAGCAGGCGCTGGACTCGAAAGGAAAGGAACAAAAGAGAAAGAAAGAAAGAAAGAAAAAAAAAGGAAAGAAAAAAGACATTCTGGGCATCCCTGGTGTTCTGCTGCTACTGCCAGGAGACAAGCAAAGTGTGCTCTGGGGAGAGGAGCAGGAAGCACCCGAGTGTGTAAACAAGGAGGGATCCCAGCAGGGATCAGGAGCAGGGCATTCACACATTCCTGTTTGCTGCCCTGAGACCTGGAGGAGAAGGTGAAGGAGCCCCAGGACCTCCCTGCCGAGCCTGGGCAGAGGTGGCTGTGTGAGCATGGAGATCTCCTGCAGGACTGGAGAGGGAGGGGAAGCTCCCCTGCTCTTTTTGGGGGAATTTGTGGTGGCCCCAGAGAGCCGGGACTCTCCTGGCTCTGCTCTGCCCCAGCAGATGAGTCAGGATGAAGCTGTTGCCTTAAACTCCCTGGAAGGAGGAGGAGGGGGACCCCTTCTCCTGCCAAAGGGATCCCCCCTCCCTCCCACAGCCTGGACGTGTTCCTGTGGCAAACCTGTGTGCTTGGAGTGATGTGAGTTTGTTCATTCGTGCAGTGGGAGCCACGGCGGCGATGGCTCGGCCCCTGCAGCTGCATGCTGGCCACTTCTGGGGGGGCTTCCCTGGGTTTGGGGGGCTCCTCTGGGTTTGGGGGGCTCCTCTGGGTTTGGGGGGCTCTCCTGGGTATGGAGGGGCTCTCCTGGGCATAGGGGGCTCTGCTGGGTTTAGGGGGCTCCTCTGGGTTTGGGGGGCTCTCCTGGGCATGGAGAGGCTTCTCTTGTCATGGAGGGGCTCTCCTGGCCATGGGGTGGGCATGGAGGGGCTCTCCTGGCCATGGGGTGGGCATGGAGGGGCTCTCCTGGGTTTGGGGGGCTCTCCTGGGCATGGAGAGGCTCTCCTGGGTTTGGAGGGGCTCTCCTGGGCATGGGGGGCTCTCCTGGGCATGGAGGGGCTCTCCTGGCCATGGGGTGGGCATGGAGGGGCTCTCCTGGGTTTGGAGAGGCTCCCCTGGGCATGGAGGGGACTCCCCTGGACCTGTGTCAGGCTCTCCTTGGCACAGGGAGCTCTCCTGGGCATGGAGGGGCTTTCCTGGGCATGGAGAGGCTTCTCTGGTCATGGAGGGGCTCTCCTGGGCGTGGAGGGGCTCTCCTGGGTTTGGAGGGGCTCTCCTGGGCATGGAGGGGCTCTCCTGGCCATGGGGTGGGCATGGAGGGGCTCTCCTGGATATGGGGGGCTCTCCTGGGCATGGAGGGGCTCCCCTGGGCATGGAGTGGACATGGAGGGGCTCCCCTGGGTGTGGAGGGGCTCTCCTGGGTTTAGGGGGCTCTCCTGGGCATGGAGGGGCTCTCCTGGGCTCTCCTGGGCATGGGGGGCTCTCCCCCTCTACATTTCAGTGCCCCTTGGTGCAGGAGGCTCTCCTGGCCATGGGGGTCTCTCTTGACCCTGTGTCAGGTTCACCTCAGCATGGGGGGGCTCTCCTGGCCAATCCTGGGGTCTCTCCTGGGGTCTCTCCTGGCCAATCCTGGAGTCTTTCCTGGCCATTCCTGGGGTCTCTCCTGGCCCCTCCTGGGGTCTCTCCTGGGGTCTCTCCTGGCCCCTCCTGGGGTCTCTCCTGGCCATCCCAGCGAGGTGCCAACAGTGTTAACACTGGGAAGGTCATGGATTGGTTTCTCCCTGTTGTTACCCAGCTTTTTTTGTGGGGCAGAGGTGGGGGGGAGGAACAGATCTTTCCAAGCTGGGATTGCCCTTGGGTAACTCAATTCTACCTCACAAACAAAGAAGTGCTCGGGGCTCTCCAGCCTGGATCAGCCCCTGCGCTTCTGTCAAGTTTTGCTGTTACAAAACTAAAAACTAAAACTAAAAACTAAACCTAAAAACTAAAACTAAACTAAAACTAGTGATTTGCAAACCCTGGAAACTCACCCTGCTGCCTCCTCCCTGCGAAGGGACACGGGGAAGGGACACCCAGGAAGGGCCATCCTGCAGTGGGGGCCGAGCTCAGCGAGCTCAGAGCACCCCAGGGTTTCTCTCCCAGCTCCACCATGGCCTTGGGCAAGTCACCACTTCACCTCTTTGCCTCAGTTTCCTCATCTGTAAAATGAGGGTGGTACCTCCTGTGGTACTGAGCTACCTCCAGGAGCGGGGAGGGTGCCTGGAGCCTGGATTTGGAGAGGGGAGGGAGGCACCAGAGCCAGGCTCAGCTCTGGGTTGGCCTGGGCTGCTGCAGCTCTTGGGTTTTGAGCTCCAGGCTCGTGGTCCTGGCGTCCCTGTGGAGCTGTGCTGAGGTTTTACGAGAGAAATGGGAATTTTGGGAGCGGTGCGGTGCTCTGGGCAGTGGTGGGGCTTTGCTGTGGGCTGCTCTGAGCTGGGTTCCTGTTGTGGAATTGTGGGGTGGATGAGGCTGGGAGGGACCATTGGGGGCCCCCCAGTCACCCCCTCGAGGGTGGAACTCAGGGCTGGGGACAGGGACAGGGATGGACACGACCTGCACTGCTCTGGAGGTGGCTGAGGAGGCTGGGAGAGCCTGGAGAGCCTCCTGGAATGTTCCAGAAGCCGTGGCGAGCTTCAGGGAGGGTCTGCTGAAAAGCAAAAGCCTTTTTGTGCACATAAACCAAAAAGTGAAGCTTTTACACCCAAACACCCAACAGGCACAGCCAGCCCTTGCTCCTGCCTGGGGGGGGGGAAAAGCAGGAGCCCCCCCATTGCTGCTGGTTCTGACGCAGGGAATTTCTGTTGTGGTTAGAGCAGATGATTCCCACCTGGAACACCCCAAATCTGCACTGCAGGGGCTGCAGGGGTGGGTCTGACCCTGCTGCTGCTCCTGGGGGTGGCTCCCAGGGGGCTCAGAGACCTGAGGGGGGCTCCTGAGCCTTTGGGGTGGGCAGGGGGTGTCACCCCTGTCCCCAGCCTGCTCCAGCTCAGGGCTGGGAGAGCCAAAACCAGCTGGGATTTCATTCCTCACCATCACTTTGGGCAAACCTGGCTCTCTCCTGTCCCCACTGCCCCTGGTGGGGACTGTGGGGACACCAAGCCTGGTGGTGTTGGCCTCCCCCGGGGTTGGCAAAGTGCTGTGGGATTCCTGGGGGCCGAGAGGGGAAATTCTGGCAGCATCCAGGTCACGGAGCCTTCCCCAAGGCCAGGCTCGCTCCCACCCCCAAAACACAAAATTCACTTTTCCCCCGTTCTCAGTGGATCTCAGTGGATCCACCCCCAAAACACAAAATTCACTTTTCCCCCGTTCTCAGTGGATCTCAGTGGATCCACCCCCAAAAACACAAAATTCACTTTTCCCCCGTTCTCAGTGGATCCGGGTCTGTCAGCAGAGAAATTGAGCAGAAGAAGAAAGAAAGGAAGAAAGAAAGGAAGGAAGAACAAGAGTTGAATTTGCTGTCTAACCTTTTTTGTTAAGTTAATCGTAGGTACTGACCTCCTGCTATTTAAGTGTTTACTATCTATTTGCTGTAAAGTTTTGTATATTTTGTAAACTTTTCCCCTCCCCACACCCCTTCCCCGAATCGTAGATGTCTAAAATCGTTGTACATTGGGTTCTTTTCTACTCCATTGTTCAGCACAAAGTGTGGTTTTTATTTAGAATAATAAAACGGAAAACATTGACCTCTTGTGCAGCTGCTTTTTTTTAATAAAATGTTTTCCTCACAGGAATGCCCTGGGGAGAGCAGGTGAGGCCATCCCTGGGTTTGTGGCTCAGGGGGAGCAGTTTGGGATGTTCCTGTGGGCTACAGGAGCAGGAGGGAGTGAGGGGTGGGAGCAGAGCCCACCCATTGGGCAATCCCAGGGTTTGTGTGCCTGGATGAGCCTTTTCTGCCAGGAGCTGGGGCTCCATGGGCTGGGAAACGACTTCAAAATGGTTTGGAGGGGTCTGGAGCGGAGGAGAGGGTGTGGGAGCTGGGCTTGGTTAGTCTGGAGAAGAGGAGGCTGAGAGGGGGCTCCATCAATCCATAAAAATATCTCAAATATCTCAGAGGGGGCTCCATCAATCCATAAAAATATCTCAGATTTCTCATTTGAGAGGGGATCCCAACAATCCATAAAAACATCTCAAATATCTCAGAGGGGATTCCATCAATCCATAAAAATATCTCGGATTTCTCATTTGACAGGGGATTCTATCAGTCCATCAAAATATCTCAAATATTCATATAAATATCTCATTTGAGAGGGGATCTCGTGAATCCATAAAAACATCTCAGATTTCTCAGATTAATCCATAAAAATATCTCAAATATCCATATAAATATCTCATTTGAGAGGGGATCTCGTGAATCCATAAAAACATCTCAGATTTCTCAGATTTCTCAGATTAATCCATAAAAATATCTCAGATATCTCAGAGGGGATTTCATCAATCCATAAAAATATCTCAGATTTCTCATTTGGGAGGAGAGTCTATCAATCCATTAAAATATCTCAAATATCTGTATAAATACCTCATTTGAGAGGGAATCTCATGAATCCATAAAAACATCTCAAATATCTCAGAGGGGGATTTCATCAATCCATAAAAATATCTCAGATTTCTCAGATTTCTCAGATTAATCCATAAAAATATCTCAGCTTTCTCATTTGAGAGGGGATCCAATCTATCAATCCATTAAAATACCTCAAATATCTGTATAAATATCTCATTTGAGAGGGGATCTTGTGAATCCATAAAAACATCTCAGATTTCTCAGATTTCTCAGATTAATCCATAAAAATATCTCAAATATCCATATAAATATCAAATTTGAGAGGGGATCTCGTGAATCCATAAAAACATCTCAGATTTCTCAGATTAATCCATAAAAATATCTCAGATATCTCAGAGGGGATTTCATGAATCCATAAAATTATCTCAGATATCTCATTTGAGAGGGGACCTTTTTAATCCATAAAATTATCTCAAATATCTCAGAGGGGATTTCATCAATCCATAAAAACATCTCAGATATCTCAGAGGAGATCTTGTCAATCCATAAAAATATCTCAGATTTCTCATTTGAGAGGGGATCCCAACAATCCATAAAAATATCTCAGATTTCTCATTTGAGAGGGGACCTTTTTAATCCATAAAAATATCTCAAATATCTCAGAGGGGATTTCATCAACCCATAAAAATGTCTCAGATTTCTCATTTGCGAGGGGATCTCATCAATCCATAAAAACACCTCAAGGGTGGGTGCCAAGAGGACGGTGCCAAACTTTTCAGTGGTGTGACAGGACAGGGAACAACAGCCATAAATGAAACCACAAGAAATTCCACCTTGACACAAGGAAGAATTTCCCATGGAGGTGGGAACAATTTATTTGAGGCCACTCTGGCCCTTAAGTTTATGGACAAAAGTGCAGAGAAATTAAAGACAGTTAAAAATTAAGTTTATTGGGTGAAAAATACCAAATTTTACATGTTGAAGTATCTTGAATATAGTTTTGCCCTGGTGAGAGGCTGGTTTTGTGTTTATCTTCCATTTCTTGGTTGGAAATGGGAGGGAATTAACAAAGGGAAGCTCAGGGAGGATTTGGGATCAGGGAATGAAGGTGGTGGGTGCAGATCCCAGCCTGGAGGGGTCTCACAGGAACAGAGAAGGGAATTCCTGAGCAGGGAATTCTGACCCTGCTGGAGCCTTCCCGGGGTTTCTGTGTAAGAGCTGGGTTGGGATTCTTGTCCTGGGGTAAAAAGGAACATCCCTGCAGAAGAAACCCCGAGGAATTCAGGATTTTACCCCATCGGGGATGCCTGGAAGTGGCAGAGCTTTCCCAGCCAGCCCTGTGATAACCCCACATCCTGGCCAGGGGCTTCTCCTGGGACATCCTGCTCCCAGCCCTGAGCCAGCATCCTGTCCCCAGAAACTGCTTATGCTTTGCTTTTTTTCACCCAGTGCTCCTCCAGCAGCTCAAGGCCTTTGGTGGATTTATGGCGTCTCTGGCACCTTCCCCCAGTAAAGGCCCTGACCCCCAGCACGTGACTGAGATCAGGACCCACACACAAGGATGAACTTTCTCCGGATTCTCCGGTTCCTTGCACGGCACAAACGCAGCCCGTGCTCCAGCTCTGAGGATTTCTGCACATCCCTGCACTCCCACAGGGGCTTTGGTGGAAGGGGAAGGGATGTTGGGGCTTGTTGGAGTTGAGAAATCCACCCAGTGGCCATAAAAACCTGCCAGGGGATGCTCCAGAGGAGTTAATGGGATGGGGGACCCAAAGTTAGTCTGAGCAGCCTTTCCCAGTAAAACCCAGTTTAGCCATCGCTAATTTAAAATTTGTAAAAAATTTACAGCCGGCTTTGCAAAATTGCCCTGAAGGAGTGGCTGATTTGAATCCAAATTGTTCCTCCTCTCCCTCAGGTCTGTGCCCTGCTCAGCCCCTTGGGCTGCTTCGCCTTCATCTCTCAAAAATCAGGCTCTGGATGTTGCTGGGCACTATGGGGGGAGGTTTGAGTTCCAAACTCCTCCTGTCCCACTCGGGATGGCGCTCACCAGGCAGTGCCATGCCCAGGGCTGGGGGCCAGGGGCAGTTTGGGTGATGCAGGAACCCCTGTGGTGGGGCAGATGCTGCACCCCAACCCCTCAGCTTGATGGGGCTCTGATCTTGGGGCTGTGTCAGGCACGGAGTGGAGTAACAAACTTTATTATTGCAAGGGAATCTAATGTTCTTATCAAACAGGGAACATAATTTTCTCTTATCCTTCCTTTAGGTTGGACACGACAGCGCTCCAGAGGCAAGATGTCCATAGCTCCCAGCTCTCCTCAAAGCTGGCACAGGAAGTGCCCGGCCAAGCAGGGCTGTGCCCAAGCAAATCATGTCCTCAGCAGCAGGAAAACCAATCCCACTGTCCCCAGGGAGCCACGAGGAGAGTCTGACCCTCTTTAGTTGGGAGGGCTGTTGTCCTTCGCGATGACTATGGAGTGCTGCGTGCCGGAGGAGGAATTTCCAGCTCCCTTCTGGCCACCGTGGTCCTTGGGGATGTACTTGACCACGGCAGAGATGAGTTTGCTGCGGAAGTTCTTGCTGAGGAAGTTGTAGAGGATGGGGTTGACGACGCAGTGGAGCAGCGTGAAGCAGTCGATGATGTCGTAGAAGAAGTAGAGGAGGTGGGCGAAGGTGCAGTGCAGGATGATGTGGTTGCCCTCGAGGGTGAGCAGGGTCAGCACGACGTGGAAGGGCAGCCAGCTGAGCAGGAACACCCCGATGTAGGCGTAGATGAGCAGGCAGTGCTTGCGGCTCTCGGGCTTGGCGCGCCGCAGGAACCGCGCCGTCAGCACGTTGAACGCCGCGATGATGGGGAAGGGGATGAGGAACCCGACGGTGGTGGTGGCCAGGCTGACCGCCAGAGCCCACTCGTCGTAGGTCTCAAAAGGAGCCATGAAGATGCAGATGGGCTCCCCGGTGTTGACCAGCTGCATGTGGGCCACCTCCAGCACGGGGATGGCGGCGGCCAGGAGCCAGCAGCAGGCGCAGACGGCGCGGCGCGCGCGGTGCTGGTGCCGCTGCCAGAAGAGGGAGGAGCTGGTCAGGGTCACGTAGCGATCCACGCTCAGGCAGGTGAGGAAGAAGATGCTGGCGTACATGTTGGCGAAGTAGAAGTAGTGGGTGAAGCGGCAGAGGAAGCTGCCCCAGAGCCAGGTGTAATCCAGCATCACCTCCAGCATCCAGATGGGCAGCGAGAGCAGCACGCCCAGGTCAGCGATGGCCATGTTGATGACGTAGAGGTTGACCAAGCTCTTGGTGCCCCGTGTCTGCCAGTTGACCCAGATGACGAGGAGGTTCTCCACCAAGCCCACCACGAAGATGACCAGGTAGAGGATGAAGAGAACCACTCGTTTGACGTTCTCGTCCAGGCTGAACTCGCAGAAGGTGTAGGTGTGGTTCAGGAGGTAGAACAGCTCGGACAGGTTGTGGTAGTCGCCGTACTCACTCGGGACAGTGTGTGTCTCCATGGGGACAGTGGTCACCTCGGCCATCCTGGTGGCTGCAGGAAAGGGAGAGCACTGAGCTGGGCAGGCTGAGACAGAGAGCCCTTGTGTGGGGCTCAGAAAGGTCCTTCTGGGAGCTTCCAACCCCATTTTTACTCCCACGGTGACTCCCTACATCAACCCTCAAAAGATGCTGTGTCCACCCAGGTGATCCCCTCATACAAATTCCAGACACAAATTACAATCACCACATGTGGTGGCTGTCCCCTGTCCCAGAGCTTGGCCTGGGACACAGAGAGGAGTTGGTGGCTCTGTCCCAGAGGCAGCTCCAGCGGGAAAGCCACCGCTCCCACCCGAGCCCTCAGGGTGTGATCGCTCCCAGCCACCCTCACCCTGCCGGGAGCCATCGGGACATCCAAGTAGGTGACAAAATGGCACATTTCAGGGAAACGCAGACCTGAACATCCTCTAAATGCCCCAAGTGAGAGCCCCGATCCCAGCCCAGCAAAGAGGCTGCAGAGCCCGTCCAGCCTCGGGCTGCTGGAGCAGCCGCTCCCTCGGGAAGGTGCCCAGGAGCCGCCGTTCCCTTGGGAATCCTGCGGGATTCTGCCCTCCCAGCGGGGTTTTCCCGCTTCATTTGGAGCCTGGCAAGCCAGGAGCGAGCCACAGCTGGTGCCACCCGTGAGTGTCACCCCTGTGGCACCCACCGGCCCCAAAGCCGGGGCGGGCTGGAGCTGCCACCCCCAGGGATCCTGAACGTCCCGTCCTCTTCTGCCCTGCAGGTCCTGAGAGGCTGCTGGGGCTGAGGAGAGGCAGGACAGATGGACGGGAGAGGGGACAGACAGACAGGAGAAGGGATGGAGAGATGGGCGAGGGGAGAGATGGATGGTGAAGGGGACAGACGGACAGGAGAAGGGACAGGCAGACAGGAGCAGGGACAGACAAACAGGAGAAGGGATGGACAGGTGGGAGAGGGGACAGATGGACAGGAGAGGGGACAGACAAACAGGAGAAGGGATGGACAGGTGGGAGAGGGGACAGATGGACAGGAGAGGGGACAGACAAACAGGAGAAGGGACAGATGGATGGGAGAGAGGACAGATGGATGTTAAAGGGGACAGACGGACAGGAGAAGGGACAGACAAGCGGGAGAAGCGATGGACAGATGGGAAAGGGGACAGATGGACAAGAGAAGGGACAGGCAGACAGGAGCAGGGACAGACAAACAGGAGAGGGGACAGATGGATAGGAGATGGGACAGACGGACAGGAGAAGGGACAGACAAACAGGAGAAGGGACAGGCAGACAGGAGAAGGGACAGACAGGACCAGGGACAGACAGATGGGAGAGAGGACAGACGGATGAGCGAGAGGATAGATGGATGGTAGAGGGGACAGACAGACAGACAGGACCAGGGACAGACAAACGGGAGAAGGGACAGGCAGATGAGAGAGGGGACAGATGGACGGTAAAGAGGACAGACAGAAGGAACGGAGGGAGCAGGGACGGCGCTGCCTCACCTGCGGCTGCGCTGGGGCTGCTCGGCAGCGGGGGGATCCTCTCGGCTCGGCAGCTCAGGCGCCTCTGGGCACGGAGCTCGGGTGGGCTTGGTGGCCGCTGGCTGGGCAGGAAATGAGCGGCGTGGTGCGACATCCTGAGCCCGGCGCGGGGACATTTCACGGCATTCGCAGCGCCGGGACTCGGCTCCGCTTTGATTTCGCCGCAGGGTGGGGACGGACCCGGGGAGGCGCCGAGGAGGTGTCGGTGGGGAAGCCGCAGGTGCCTGGGGATGGATGGTGTGGGAATCAACAGAATCAGAGGGTTTGGGGAAAGCTGCAAAAGGCAGGGCCCAGAGACAGCAGAACTGTGATTAGAGCCAAGCAGCAGCCATGAGATAGGTCGGCAGAAAAATTATTTAAACTGTAGAAAGGCAAGGACAAATAGAACAATGGCCTGTGTATTAACGCTTGTCAGAATAACTCTCTAAGCTACAGAAAAGTTTATCTAGCAAGATATTAGGAAGTTTGAAGCTTAATAATGGAGCTCTGTGCGTTGTGCTTTAGGGCTTACAAGTAAATATTGTATTCGAAATAAGCAAGCATTGTTTTAACCAAAGGTACCTGTGCTTATGGTGATTGGATAGAACTACTGTCAATGTGCTTTTGCTTTGTGGGATTGGTCAAGAAGCTCATAAAGTGAGTTATAACATTAAATTCTTAGTCTGCTGCCTGAGATGTGAGCTGCTGGCATCTTCCCATTGTCATAACCATGCAATGAGACCGATGCTGGAAAATAAAACAGCTCAAGGCAGTTCCACAGCAGCCCCGTCCCGTTTGTGGCCTGTAAAGAGCCCCCCTATGGCCATAGATGGGCGTCCCCGAGGCTTCCTGAGTGTCCCCTCCACTGTCACCACGCTGAGATAAGAGGTCGGATCCTGCCTGGATGGGGAAAACACACGCCAGGTCCTGCCCCAGCTCTGAGGGGTCGGGTTATACCAAAAACACCAAAGCTGTCCCTGATGCCACCTCCGTATCAGGGCGAGCCCGGGCGTTTGTTCCGTGGGGAAGGGTTGAAGGCTGAGCTCTCTGCCCGCTGGCAGATGGATGTGGCCAGAGAAGCACCTCTGGCCAGGCAGCAATTAATCACAGAGCCTTGATTGCCCCGCGGCCTGACAGGGGAAGCCCAAGCCTTGCCCCGGCGCTGGGGAAGGGGCTGATAGGGCAGAAAATTTTGCATGGGGCTGCAAGTCCTGCGAAACAATTGCAGGAAATCTCCTTTTTTTTCCAGCGCAGCCAAGACTGCGGGATCAACAATCGGCTCGGAAGGAAGGCTCGGGGAGCGGGGAAGCGCCAGGGCGCTGATAAGGCGGAGCTCACAACAACAAACCCAGCGCCGCTGACCTCGTGTGCAGGTACCAGCCCCGGCAGGAGCGGCTGCCAAACAGGAACTCGGCAGTTTCGGGCACATTTTGGGTCAGTTGGGGTCGTGGGGGTGGTGAGGGGCTGGGGGGATTTGTCCCATCCGAAAGGGAAGCAATGCTCTGCTGGTTTTGTTTAACAGATCAGGCGATTTTTACACCGAATTCTGGGGCTGAGCAGGATCTGGGAGCTGTCAAGGATTTTGCAGGAGTTCTGAGCATGGTGGGAGCAGCAAGGTTTTGGGAGCTGGTTGGATTTCCAAGTTGGGTTGGGACAGGCAGCTTGTAGCTATGATATTTTCTGAAAAATATTTTTTTTTTAGGATTTTTTTCTCCTGAGAAGCCTCAAGAACAAAATGTAAACATTTATTATCTGCTGCTATGGAATGCAACAGGTGGATCTGTGATTGGTCTCATGTGGTTGTTTCTAATTAATGGCCAATCACAGTCCGGCTGTCTCGGACTCTCTGGTCAGTCACAAGATTTTATTATCATTCCATTCCTACTCTATTCCTTCAAGCCTTCAGATGAAAATCCTTTCTTCTATTCTTTTAGTACAGTTTTTATATAATACATTTATCATAAAATAATCAATCAGCCTTTCTGACACAGACACGTTTTACGAAAAATCCTTTCCTTAGGATTTTTTCCTCCTGAGAAGCCTCAAGAACCAAATGTAAACATTTATTATCTGCTGCTGTGGAATGCAACAGGTGGATCTGTGATTGGTCTCATGTGGTTGTTTCTAATTAATGTCCAATCACAGTCCGGCTGTCTCGGACTCTCTGTCCGAGCCACAAACTTTTGTTATTCGTTCTTTCTTTTTCTATTCTTAGCCAGCCTTCTGATGAAATCCTTTCTTCTATTCTTTTAGTATAGTTTTAATATAATACATATCATAAAATAATAAATCAAGCCTTCTGAAACACAGAGTCAGATCCTCGTCTCTTCCCTCATCCTCAGACCCCTGTGAACACGGGCACAGCAGCTCAGCCCCTTCTGCCCATCCCTGCCACAATATTGGGGTGCCCCAAGGCTCTCGGCACCCCAAATGTGCCCCCAGGAGCCCCCAGCCTCATTCAGGGCCTGCAGAGGTGAGCTCCAGGCAGAGGCAGCGCCAGGGATCCGCAATTCCCAAACTCCTTCCCTCCCCTGGCAGCCGTGGTGCTGCCGGAGGGATTTGGGCGCAATTTGGTGTCCCAGGGCAGGTACAGCCAAGGCTGCAGCTCCGGGAGGGTTGGAACGCCACATCCCGGCCCCGAACGCGACCTGCGGGGGCTGCCTGAAGCATTTTGGATTTTCTAAGCCAAAGAAAACACTTGGGAAAAGTTTCCTCGGCCGGGGAAGCAGCTCGGCGAGGCTGAAGGCGGCTTGTGCAAGGTCCTGGCTCCTCCTCACCCCTCTCGCATCTCGGGGGTCCCGGTCCAGCTTGGGCTCGGGACCGCATCCCCTTATCCTTGCCAGAGCTGGGGGCGTTGAGTTGGTGCTGCTCCGGTGCCGCAAGCAAATGCACAACCCCAGAGACCTGCCCCGGAGCTGCTGATCGCTAATCAGCTCTTAATTAGCTCGATGAGTGACGCGGGGATCACCGCCCACGAGCCCAGGGGATGGATGAACACAGCTCTGCCTTTCCCAGCCCGTTTATCCCGGGATATGCCCAGGGGATGAATAAACACGGCTCTGCCTTTCCCAGCCCGTTTATCCCGGGATGTGCCGTGCCCAGGGCATGGATAAACACGGCTCTGCCTTTCCCAGCCCGTTTATCCCGGGTCACGCCGTGCCCAGGGGATGGATGAACACAGCTCTGCCTTTCCCAGCCCGTTTATCCCGGGTCACGCCGTGCCCAGGGCATGGATGAACACGGCTCTGCCTTTCCCGGCCCCTTTATCCCGGGATATGCCCAGGGGATGGATGAACACGGCTCTGCCTTTCCCAGCCCGTTTATCCCGGGATATGCCCAGGGCATGGATGAACACGGCTCTGCCTTTCCCAGCCCCTTTATCCCGGGATATGCCCAGGGGATGGATAAACACGGCTCTGCCTTTCCCAGCCCGTTTATCCCGGGATACGCCGTGCCCAGGGCATGGATGAACACGGCTCTGCCTTTCCCGGCTCGGTCCCTGCAGCCGAGCCGGGATATCTCGGGTTATGCAGTTGCTCTGGGCACAGACAGAGACCGGGATTCTCCCACGGGACCCCTCGGTGGTCACCGGCACCGTGGCCAAGTGACCATGGGACACCTCCAGCATTGCACCGCCTTTATTGAGCACCTCCCCGAGGCGCTGAGACACCCACGGGCCATGTCCCCGCTCTGGTGGCCCTCAGGGGACGCCGCTGGCCGGGATGGGCAGGAAGAAGCCGATGACGGTGTCGGACAGCCAGGCCGGGCAGTAGCTGAGGGGCAGGAAGATGAGCCGGGCATCCCAGCCGGCGGCGTAGCGGCTGCGGGGACAGCGGGACAGCAGCGCGTGTGTCATGGCATCGGTGACATGCGACAGGCGGGAGCTGCTCAGGCGGTGCAGCAGCGCCGTGCTCTTGGCATCTGGGTGGGCACAAGGGGCTCAGAGGGATGGAGGTGGGATCGGGGGGTGGTGCAATGTGGTGCAATGTGGGGATGGACTCACATTTGTCCACGTAGTGGCGGCCGTAGGCTGCCTGGGTTTCTGCAGGGAGACGCTCCCAGAGGCGAAGGAAGCCCTTCACCAGCGGGACGGGGTCGATCATGCCCGTCTGGAAGCCTCCAGGCTCGATGATGGAGACCTGCACCCCGAAGGGACGCAGCTCCCGCCTGCCCGAGGTGGGGGCGTCAGCGGGAGCTGCTGCCCCGAGGGGCGCAGAGATCGGGGGGGAGTTTGTGGCACCCCCCAGGCGTTCTGGCATGGGCACAGGGGAACCCCGTCCTTGCTCCAGGGACCCTCTTGGATCCTGAGACATCCCTGGGCCCCTCTGGATCCCGGGATCCTGGAGTGCCCCTGAACCTCAGTGCCTCGGGACCACCCCAGACCATGGAGGATTCCCAGATCCCGGGACCCCCCTAAATCTCAGTGCCCCAGGAACCCCCTGGATCCCGGGATTCTGGAATCCCCCCGAACCTCAGTGCTTCAGGACCACCCCAGACCATGGAGCATTCCCAGATCCCGGGACCCCCCTAAATCTCAGTGCCCCAGGAACCCCCTGGATCCCGGGATTCTGGAATCCCCCTGAACCTCAGTGCCTCGGGACCATCCCAGACCATGGAGCATTCCCAGATCCCGGGACCCCCCCTAAATCTCAGTGCCCCAAGACCCCCCTGGATCCCAGGATCCTGGAATCCCCCTGAACCTCAGTGCCTCGGGACCACCCCAGAGCATTCCCAGATCCCGAGACCCCCCCTAAATCTCAGTGCCCCAGGATTCCCCTGGATCCCGGGATCCTGGAGTGCCCCTGAACCTCAGTGCCTCGGGACCACCCCAGACCATGGAGCATTCCCAGATCCTGAGACCTCCCCGAATCTCAGTGCCCCAGGACCCCTCTGGACACCAGAACCCCGGGCCCAGGGGCACCCCGGGACCTCCTGGACTGGTCCATCCGGATCTCCTTGAAACCCTTCCCCTGCTTGCACACCCACGGCTCCAGCCCTGCCCACGCTCCCAACCCGCTTGTGGTCAGCGTTTCACAACCTCCCTGGGGAAAA